CTGCTGAAATCATCAATCTGCAGTCTTCATAGGTGTGATCTGTTACTGGAATTCTCAGAGCTCTAAAGTATTAAAAAACAAACAGATTCAACTTTTTTAAAAAGGTGATGGTTTTTCATTAGGCCTGAATTGGTCAACAAACGACAGTAAATGGAATAGTATTTACTACTTTTTGAACCAGTGGCTTTGGCTTATTATTGCCAAAGAGACATATTTCTCTACTTCACAGACTTATTGTGGCCCTTATGTCTGTGTGCTTCTGCCAGCTAGTCATTTTTGTTCTGTGTTTTGACTACAGCGATAATAATAGTTGAGTTCAGTCCATGGAAAGTAATGAGAAGACTTAGGTTCAAGTCCTATGGAGTCTTTTACCAGCTGGCACTTAACCTAAGCCTCACTTTTCTCATCTGCACATAGGAATAATCACTTCCTCCACAGGGTTGTTTTAAGGACCAACTAAGAATGCCTGTGGAAGTGCCATTTAAACAGATAAATGAACGGTCTATCCATATTGCTAGCTATCTGCGTCTTTCCATCTTTTAAGACTGAAGATCACCTTCTTGCTACATAGCAATCTTCAAAAAATACTAACGAGGACTGATTATAAGATCATATTTCTTTCAAACCTAAACACCCTCCATCCTCAAAGGAGTGCACAACACTGACTACCTCCCTCCTGCTCAGAGATCTACTAATAGTGAAACAGATTTGGAAAAAATACATATTAACAAGAACTTGAAATAACACTTGAGTGACAAGAAGAAAATCTGTGCTGTACATAAAATAATTTCCTGCAGATCCCTCTTGGCTAAATTTTTATTCACACACATTCAGTGACAATCATAAAATTATGTCATCAACTGTTATTTGATTTTGTTGAATCATGGCTAAGAACATTCAATTTTCAATGAATGCAATATGAATAAACATTTTTTTCCTACCTGCCACTAAGCTGTTTTTGATTAATGACTATTTGGGTGTAAGAATATATAAGGAAAATAAAAATTAAAAACACTTCAGGAATTATGAGTAACTAGTAGAACAAAACAGTTAAGAGCTTGGGCTTTGGTAACAGGAAGTGTGGATTTGAATCCCAGCCCAGAGACTCACTACCTCAGAGCCTCCATTTTCTCACTTGCCTCAGAGCTGCTGTGAAGATTATGTTAGATAACACAAGCAAATGGCCTAGCACAGGATTTGGTAAATATTTTTTAGTGGTCAACCACCACTACTTACCTCGGCTTTGCTCTTTACCATTTTCAAATGCTTTTAACATTTCCTACTTGACTCTCATAATAACCAAAACTATGAGAAAAGCCAGGCAAGGATTAGAATTCCCACTTTACACATGAGGAAAGGAGCCTTGGAGGGGACTTATCCAAGGTTGTACAGCTAACTGAGGTCTTTCTTACTCTTTATCCAAGGCCCTTCTACCTCCACGCCTCTGAATCCAGGAAAAGGCTGCTTAATCAAACCTTTCCTCTGTTTTTAGGCAGGTTTTGGGAAGTCAAAATATCTGATGTAAATTCTCTCAGTTCCTAATACTTATCTTCCTTCCTAAATTTTGGACATAAGCTAGTATGAAAACATAATGGAAGAGGGAAGAAAACAATATCAAAGCAAATTTTGTAGCTGCTTTAGAAACTAGGTAAATCAAGTACATGTAGGGATACATAGTAACAAAAGTTTTCAGCCAAACACTTAAACATTTATTCTTTTTTGAAAATAAAGTTAGTCTCCTGTGAAATATTAATATATGTAATATACATATAATATATATAATCTTGCTTATAACACCAAATTCAGCAATGAAGCTAAATTCAGAGTTCTCATTGCATTTTTACTAAGAGAATAAATACTGCTGGCTTATTAGCTCCAAACCTACCGTTGGGCATGACTGAGGGAGGTGGTGCTTGGGGAGAGGGTGCACACCTGGAGGGCTCTGAGGCTGCCTGGGTGGTGGGGATAGTATAACACACTCTTTCTTTGGACATAAGCTAGTATGAAAACATAATGGAAGAGGGAAGAAAACAATATCAAAGCAAATTTTGTAGCTGCTTTAGAAACTAGGTAAATCAAGTACATGTAGGGATACATAGTAACAAAAGTTTTCAGCCAAACACTTAAACATTTATTCTTTTTTGAAAATAAAGTTAGTCTCCTGTGAAATATTAATATATGTAATATACATATAATATATATAATCTTGCTTATAACACCAAATTCAGCAATGAAGCTAAATTCAGAGTTCTCATTGCATTTTTACTAAGAGAATAAATACTGCTGGCTTATTAGCTCCAAACCTACCGTTGGGCATGACTGAGGGAGGTGGTGCTTGGGGAGAGGGTGCACACCTGGAGGGCTCTGAGGCTGCCTGGGGGGGGGGGATAGGATAACACACTCTTTCATTACAGGAGGAGAGGTGATTTATCTAATCAGGATAGTGGCCAGTTAAAACTCCCTTAAGAGCAGGAAAATACTTGCCTTATTTTTGCAGTTTCTAAATCCTAAATTTATAGTCATCCCCTTAATGAGGGTGACTTTCCCCCTTTTCTATGCATCTATTGCATTCCCTTGCAAACTTTTTCCCCTTTGGTGCTATAATCATTAATGCCTTTGAAACACGTGGGCTTGGCAGCTATATGGAGGCTGAGGGGATAGAAGGTGGGTCACAGCAGGAACCACTCAGACCATCATTAGCTTTGTCTGACAGCGACTGGCCAGCTTGGGAGAATTCACCCTTTGGAGGTCACTGGCTGGTTTCTCCTGGTTCATGTACCCTCCCTGTTCACCTTCTGGCAAAGCTATGTCTCCATTAGTTTGGGGTTATGTGAGGTAAAATATTTATAGATTGTCTTACTGACCACATTCCTAGGCACATGACTTTTCCTTACCAAAATGAGTTGGGGAATGAGGCCCTCAGAAAAAAACAAAGACTTCAAACAATGTTAAATGCCATTTACCAATAATTTTAAAAGTATTTACTGATCATAATCACATATAGATACTTACTCTGCCATTAAATTCCGGACTCTACTGGCAAAAAGGACAGGATCACTTTTTTCTTCATCATTTGGTATTTGAACAGGCATAAACTGAAAGGCAAATATACCTTTCCATTACAATTGTGAGGCCTAAGACTTTAAATGCTAACTTAATTTATGAGCTGTCATTATATGAAATCCCCTGCCTTTCTAGCACACCAGTTATAGGATAGAATGTAAAGAGCACTGTGCTTGGACTCAAGAGATCTGAATCCAAGCTCTGGGTCTTTCTGTGTGTTAACTAGTATGACCTTTAACTTTTCTGAACTGTCTCCTCAACTCTGAAAGGAGGGCTGTGACCACCTATGTCCCGGATTGTGGTGAGGATGAAATGAACCAATGTCTGGAATTCTGGAAGTTGTAAAGTTGAAACTACTCAGATCTTACTCTCAAAGCTGCATTTTCTCCCACCTACCCTCTGTGTGAAAATGTTATTAGTGGTAGTACTTGGTTCTTTGTAGTTTATCTTCTCTATCCATTCCTATATCAGCCATATTCTTATCAGTTGATCAAGCTTTATGTTTTATCATTTCTTCTGCTTGTTTTTGAACCCTTATATTGGCTTTCTACCATGTTTTGCTTTATCATTTTAAATTTTACTCTTTTTTCTCCACTTGATAATCTGTGATATCTCATTTGTACTATTCTTGTTTTTAATTATAGTTTCCTAACATTAACAAGCTTTCAGTGCTATATTTAAGTTATTGTACATTTTTTGAGCACCTACTATATACCAGGCAAGATGAACAGGACCCTAATTCCCACTCTAAAGAAGATCCATATTTTAACAGGATAGACTGACACAACACACACTATCATTACCCCTAATGATAGGGCTTAAAAGCTTAATTAACTTACTTAAAGTTATATGGGTCACATGACTAGGATTCAGCTCAAGGCCTGTCAGACTTTAAAACCCTTGTTTTCCCCACTAAACCATCCTTCCTGGAGTATGAGCACAAGGGATAGGAAATGATTAATTTGCTCAGGGGCTGGGAAAAGCAACCAAAGAGGTTTTATAGAAGAGCTAACACTTGATCTTGACTTTCTGAGGATAAACATGATCTTGCCAGTTCCTACTGTTTGTTAACTGAACCAGGCACCATGCTAGGTGTTTCATATGCATTATTTCATTTTACTAATCCTCCCAATTCTAGTCATAAGGAATTGGGGATCACAAAGATTAAATGACTTGCTCAAGATTTCATGGCTCATTTCCATTCAACAAATACTGCTTAAGCACACTGTTATATGCCAGGCACCACACTAAGCCTTGAAGACTTGACAAGGAAGTTCTGCCCTCAAGGAGTTCTTCATGCAGTGGGGAATAAATGTACGATACAGAGAACTAAGTCCACCAATAAGGGCTACCATCCTTCAAGAACCTACTGTGTACTGGGTACTTTATATAAGGGGTTTTATGTGCTGAACTCTTGCAACAATTTCTTGAGGCAAATTCTACCATTTCCCTTTGATAGGTAAAGAATGTGGCTCTGAGAGGTTAAACGATATAGCTAAGCCACACACAAATGGCAGGGTCACAATTTGAAAGAAAAGTAAATATCTGTATAAATAACACCACTTTCAGACTCACATGGATCTGTTTTCAAGCTTGTTATCCATGTTTAAGAAGCCTACGGGCAATAGTGACTCAGAGATGAAGTTTAAGCAAGGGAGTGAAATGACCCGGTCCAAGTTTTTGAGCAGTAACTTTGGTGGCAGTAACTTTGGTGGCAGTAACTTTGGTGGATAACCAAAGAGGAAGAGGCTCGGAGCAGGGAGAACCCCTGGAGGCAACCACAATCACTCTGTGAGTGATGGTAAGACCGTGAATAGAGGGAGGGAGGGAGGGTGTACAGGCCAGCATGGACCCAACTGGCATTTTTAGGATAAAATGGACAGAAATCATAGGATAATGTGCTATTTGTTATTTTACTTCTCACATTTATTTTATTAACATCCTCTCCAAGAGGACAGTGGCATGCTGCGGAGACAGCACTAGGCCTGGATTGATGCCTTGGTTCTGCTGTGCGATCCTGGAAAAGGCATTTAGCCTTTATAGGCCTCAATTCCTTCTCTTGTCAAAGGAAAAAGTTTGAGTAGATGCCATCTAAGGTCCTTTCCAACTGGACTTCTATCTTTTCGCTTAGTATCCAGTCATTCTTTAAGATGGAAAAATAAACTAAGCCACCAGAGGTCCCCACATCACTTATATATCCAGAGCAATGAAAAATCTTTGCAAATAAATATTTCTAAAAATTCCCTCCATCCTGTTCTAGTAAAATTTCTTATAGTTGCTTAGGATGAAATCCAAGGAAGAAAACTATGTTAAAATCAATGTTCATAAAAACCTAACAAAATAATACAATCAATTAAAGTTTTAAATTGTCATATAATTCTTCACTAAAAAAAGCTAAATGCTCATTTATAATACACTTGACTGGTAGGTCATAAAAGTTCATACTGAAAACCCTAAAAAATAAATTGCTGTTACACTGTTAACCAAACACAATACAATGAACTATGGGTTTGGTTCCTTTTAGTGCAGGGAATATTTTCCATAAAATGTTTTTTAATAATGCTCATATTGGCATGGCATTTTATTCTTGAGGAAAATAATTCCCCTGAGAGTTCAAAATAGTTAAAAGCCTGGATTTGATACTCACTGGTCTTGGAGGCCCCCATGCCTCCTGAGAAGCAATTCAATGGAAATTCTAATAAAAAGTCATCTCTCCTTGGATAAGATCTTGCCCTCTATATCACATTTCCAATTTGTACAAAGTCATTCAAGGGTCACAGCATGAACATATCTTTTACTTGGGAAGGAAGATCAGCCGGAGAGAGGGGAACATGATTGTCATTATCTATTACTGAACACTAATACACACCTAAATACCCCAGTGACCCCACGACCACAAGTTATCCTTTCTACCTTTATCTTCTCTCGTTATCCCCAGTATCCACATTGATGGCCCATCTTGATTTCACACCCCTTCATCTGGCCACAGATATTCTTCTCAACTCCACCTTGGCCATGGAAAAAACATGCAATTCTAATTCCTCCTCTGACAAGTTCTTCCATGAGAGTTTCCCCTCATTATCTATTAGTGTTTACTTCACCCCTAACCTGGTCCTGCAGAGACCACAAGAAACTGACGGTCACCCTCAGGAACTATTCATCCCTCTCTGCCACCCCCTGCTGACAACATCTGTCTGCCTATCTACACTGTACTTTGAGAATCAGACACTTCTCTATGACCTTTCTGTCACCTAGAATCTGTCACTTCTGCCACATACTCAGTCACCTCTCCTGATCCCGCCTCCCTAATCCTGTTAGAGAGTGATGCTAACTGAGAGATGCTAAACAAAGGTACAAAATCTTACTGGCTGAGGCTACTACAAGTTCATGTTCAGTTCCTTGGAGCTGCTTGAAAAATTATGTAATTTCCCAAGGTGATCATGCTGCCTCCAAACATAAAAAAATACTTTTTTGTCTCTGTTGTCAAAGATCTTCTTTTATCTTTCTAATCTGTGTAGGTGGGCCAAAATATGTGATCTTAACATTGGGTCTATTTCTTTAATGTTGATGTGATGGGCGAGGATCAAGTTACTTAAATCGAACCTCACTGCTGCTTGGCAGCCCTCTTCTGTCCCTCTTTGACCTGCTGCCATCATACTTTCCTGTCTCAAACATGTTCCTTGCTTCTCAAGTTGCAATTCCACTTTCATCTCAATGATACTTCAACTTTAGAAAGAAGACAGGGAAGGAGCTCAGGACATGCAACTGCAAAATGTGCCACTTGGGTATATCAATTATTTTGAGCTGTAGGCACTTAAAAACAGCACTGCAAGGGCTTCCCTGGTGGCGCAGTGGTTGAGAGTCCGCCTGCCGATGCAGGGGACACGGGTTCGTGCCCCGGTCCGGGAAGATCCCACATGCCGCGGAGCGGCTGGGCCCGTGAGCCATGGCCGCTGAGCCTGCGTGTCCGGAGCCTGTGCTCCGCAACGGGAGAGGCCACAGCAGTGAGAGGCCCGCGTACCGCACAAAAAAAACAAAAAACAAAAAACCAGCACTGCAGGGAGAGGCTTTCTCTGAACTCCCCTTATCTGCCCATGACAGATCCTCCAAAAAGAACTCAATTGTCCTAAATGTGCTCCTGGGGAGTTTCATCAAACAGGGAAGACTGACTCTCATCAGAGGGGAGGAGACTAGAAGTCAACATCACACCCAGACAAACTTTATCACACACCATCATGTCTCCCATCTGTTCTAAGGGCCCACTGGTCTTTCTTAAAAAACATTTACTCTCCCCTAAGTGGTCTATGCCCTCCCTCCCCTGCTTCTTTTTTTTTTTTTCTTTAATTTGAAACTTTTATTTCTGCTATAAACTATGTGGAAGCTCTAATTCATCTTGTTTTTAAATTGGAGTAAAATTGCTTTACAATGTTGTGCTAGTTTCTGCTATACAATGAAGTGAATCAGCTATATGTATAACTATATCCCCTAGATCCCCATCTAGATCGTCACAGAGCACCAAGCTGAGATCCCGGTGCTATACAGCAGGTTCCCGCGTATTTACGTTAAACCTTATCTCCCAGTTCGTCCCACCCTCTTCTTCCCCGTGTCCACATGTCCGTTCTCTACGTCTATGTCTCTATTCCTGCCCTACAAATAGGTTCATGTGTACCATTTTTCTAGATTCCACATATAAGCATTAATATATGATACTTGTTTTTCTCTTTCTGGCTTACTTCACTCTGTATGACAGACTCTAGGTCCATCCACATCTCTACAAATGACCCAATTTCGTTCCTTTTTATGGCTGATTAATATTCCATTGTATATATGTACCACATCTTCTTTATCCATTCATCTGTCGTTGGACATTTAGGTTGTTTCCACGTCCTGGCTATTGTAAATAGTGCTGCAATCAACATTGGGGTACATGTGTCCTTTTGAATTATGGTTTTCTCAGGGTGTATGCCCAGTAGTGGGATTGTTGGGTCATATGGTAGTTCTATTTTTAGTTTTTTAAGGAACCTCCATACTGTTCTCCATAGTGGCTGTATCCCCTGCTTCTTTTAATATGGTATATAAGCTCTCAAATCTCACTTTTTTGGGTATTCACTTTTTATTCCCTGTGATGCCCTTGTGCATATAATATTAAAACTTAATAAATCTGTATATCTTTTCTGCTGTTAATCTGCCTGTTATCAGTTTATTTCACAGACCCAGGAATCAGACCTGGGTGGGTACAGGGAAGTCTTTCCTCCCTGACAGCATCCTGTGTAAACTCTGTCAATTCCCTTTCCCACTGCACCTGAGACGGGCTCCACAGCTCCAGCCCCCTCCTCACTGCAGTATCCCCTCTTCCCTCACCCTGCTTACTCTGTACCGTCCTGACCCAGATGAGGAGGAGACTGACTGGCCTGTCTCCCACACCAGCACCTCTAGTTAGCACTTTTGGTCCCAGAGCCTCCTACCTCTTCCTGGGCCTTAGACTGCACACAAGATAAAGCCCAAATTCCCCTGCCTATTGTTTAAGGCTCTCCATTACCCAGAGCCAGTCCTTTACATGAATACTCACTACCAGTGAGACTGGTGTATTCCTTGTTTACTGACCACATCAAGCACATTCCTTTCTATTAAATAAGTGATGATGAGAGGGAGAAAGATTGACGAGTGATGACGCTACAATCAACTTTTTCTTCTTCTAAGGAACAGAAAAGGATTTTAACAGGTGAATCTTAAGAAATGTGCAGTTCTGGGAATTCCCTGGCGGTCCAGTGGTTAGGACTTGGTGCTGTCACTGCTGGGCCTGGGGTTCAATGCCTGGTCAGGGAACTAAGATCCCGCAAGCCACGCGGTTCAG